CTATGTCATCTCTGAGTGAACAAATGTAGTCAGTATTATAATTACTCCAGTTTACGGCACAGAAATGGGGAAACTATGTCAAATCCAATAACCTTTCTGAACTAAGAAGACAAATCCTGAAATCTAAGAAGAATATAAAAGCTACAGTTCTCTGGGCAAAGAACCACAGAAGAGAAATCTGCTCAGAGAGCTCTGAAGATCAACAAAGCATTCTCCTCAAGTCTTTAACTAAGTACCAATCAGCACATTCATATGAGAAAACTACTAAGCCTCAAGGAAAAAATATTCTTCCAAAAGGTTTAGAGGAAACAAACTCCAAAGATCAAAGAGGCACAGAAGTACTTCATGCTCTTATCAGCAGAGAGAGAGAGAAAAAAAAAGATGCAATATATAGTATCAAAGAATGGCAGAACTGTCATCAGAAACAATTTAAACCAGAATAGAAAAAAATTTTCAGTACAAAAATAAAAAACTAAGTCTGTCCATGTAGAATTCATATTTAATCAAAATATATTTCAAAAATGAAGACAAAATAGAGATTTTTTTTCAAGTGTACAAAAACTGAAAGAACTCATCACCAGCCCATGGGGACTACACAAAATATTAAAGGAATGTCTACTGGCAGACAGAAAATAATAACAAAAGAAAATACAGATTTAATTTAAAGAGACAAATGCAAAAGAGTAGGGTGTTTCTCAGCAAAGAAATATGACAGCCACTAGGCCTGGTTAGATTCAAGGTTTGTGGCTCATGCCAGACAAAAATTTGAACTGTTGGGTTATCCTTTTTAGAATAGGAAATATTCTCTAGTAGATGGATCAAATAGTACATTTAATAAAACATAGATTTAAAAAATAGATTTATAATCCTACCTGAAAGAAAACAAAATTTACAAAAAGAACTTATGGAAAAAACCCAAATTAATAAAATATAACCTCAGAAAAAGATAATATAACATCCCAATGAAATGAAATATTTGAAGAGAACTAAAACAATCACTGAGGATTTAAGAGACTATCAGAAAGAAAAAAAGAAAGAATATATATAGTTAAAATTCAATTGCCAGTGAATGAAATTCTTTAGATGACCTGAATACAGAAGAAAAGATAAAAGGTAAGATAAAAAAAGTCCTTTTGGTGGCACTGGGGATTGAACTCAGGGCTTTCACACTGAACTACATCCCCAAGCCCTTTTTATTTATGTATTTTTTTATCTGAGACAGAATTAGAAGAAAATAGATATGAAGGTAAGACACAAGTAATCTAACATAAAGATAAATGATGTCCTTCAACTAGAGTATGAAAAATAGAAAAGAATACAAAAGTATATTTAAAAATCCTTGGAAACCAAAAGATACTACAAATAATAAATGCACAGATTTCTAAGGAAACTGATTTAGAGCATTTTATAATAAGATGCATTTTATTTAAGGCTTTCAATATTAAGCTGTAAAATGTAAATCTTTAGGTATGTACTTAGCAACAACAAGTTACCTCCGAAGTAGAGGAGACAGGGGGAGAATCAGACACCACTCCATAACACATGTCACAGCAGCTCTCCACCATAAAAATGAATACAATCTAGAAAGTTCAGAAGAAAAGAAAGTGTGGCCAAATAAAATAATACTCAGTTATGTAGACTCTTACAATATGGGTCTTTTGATTCCTCCTGGAACTTGGAAAAAAGGGATACTTTCAATCATATTTTGTAACCGAGAAATACATAAAAAAAGGAACTCATAAATAAAAATGCCATGACTTTAAAAAATGAGTACTGAGTCAGTAATACATAGTAAAAAGACTAACGTTCAGGGAATTAGTATTACTGTACTATATACAATTGTAGACCCTTACATAATTTTTAAAAACGTAATTTAATGAACAAAACTCTCAGGATGCTGGGGAAACAAAACAAAAAGTTTTAGAAAAATGATAGGGTTTTCAGCCACATAGCAAAATATTAATTTTATTTTATTTTTTAAGATGCTAATTTTAAATGCCCCCACAATAGAAATGCAGTGGTACCTTAATTGACAAGTGCTTTTGTTTGCAAACAATTTGTTCACAAACAAGTGTCTGGCAAAATTTCATTTTTGTCTGCAAACTCTGCATCAGGTGAAAAACACAACCACAGCCATCTTTCCCATAGCAAATGGAAATATAGCCATCTTCAAATAAATACATGAGAAAATGTTCAACATCATTAGCCATTCGAGAAATGCAAATTAAAACAACTCTGAGATTCCACCTTACCCCAGTAAGAATGGCTAGCATTAAGAAATCAACCAATAACAAACGCTGGAGAGGCTGTGGAGAAATAGGAACCCTTCTCCACTGCTGGTGGGAATGCAGACTGGTGAAACCACTATGGAAATCAGTTTGGAGATTCCTCAGAAAACTAGGTCTAGAGGTCCCATTTAACCCAGCTATTCCCTTCTGGGTATTTTCCCAGAAGATCTGAAAACATCATATCACAGCGATGTATGTGCACCTATGTTCAGAGCAGCACAATTTGTAATTGCTAAAATGTGGAAGCAACCCAAATGTCCATTCAGCGAGGATTGGATAAGAAAATTGTGGTACTTTTATAGAATGGAATATTACTCAGCTATAAAGAAAGACAAACTTGAGGCCTTTATAGGTAAATGGTCACAACTAGAGACCATACTCATAAGTGAAATAAATCAGACCTGCATGTGCAAGCACCGCATTGTTTCACTAGTGTAAAACCTGAAAGAGTTCATTTAAACTAGGAGGTATGATAGACATTGTGAAATGATAGGAAACCACTCAAAGGTAAAGGGCAACCAGGATGTGGGAAAAGAAAAGGGAAAGAAGGAGAAATTTTGTATGTATGTATATACAGGATAGTTAACATAGTTGTTCTACTGTCTTCTATTTCTTTGCAGAAAGAAACTGTCAATGAGTCCTTGATTAATGAATATTGCATGTCTCTATCTGCTTTCATGAGAAACCACTTTGAAGATATCAATATGTAATACAACAAGCATTGTTAATTTCCTACCACTTTGTTTGTAACTCTGTATTGTCTGTACTGTTCTTTTGCTATTTTGTAAAATGTTGTGTCTGTTAATGTTTTCCTTTTATTTTTAAAATAAAAAAATAAAAATAAAAGAAATATAGCCATCTTTTCCAAAATCTTAGAACAAATTAAGTTCATGAACTAAGGTACCATAGTAGTTTAAAAGTAGTAGTTGTACCTTCAATGTTTTTGTAACATTTGTATTTGAATGTAGAAGGACTTTTTAAAAATTAATATCTCTTAAGTTGACAAACTGTTTATCTAAAATTAAAAAGTCATTTACCTTTACCTCAGATTTCTTTTTATTTAGTTCACTTTAAATACATATAATACATGTAAATCTCTTAAAATAGCATCTATTGGGATACTCTTTTTAAGCAATTAATTTACCTAAGCTTCTTTCTATGTAGTTATTAAGAGGTTACTATATAATTAATATTTTTTGTTTTTAATTGGTTGCGAACTAGCTATTGTATTGCTTAAATGTTTGCATGTTAACAATGAAGGTTTTTTTTTAAGTAAACAAAGAATAAAGTCTTAGAAATATCAGTAGCTAAGGAGTAAACAGAAATTCCAGTGGAAGAGACTGAGAAGATACACGGAAGACTAGGAGATTATAATAGAAAAAAGAGTGTTTCCAAAGCCAATAAGGAAGCAAGCCTGAAATCTGACGAAACTTAAAGG